ATATGCACAAGTTAAACCTAAACAGTTTTCTGCATGTATATTACAATACTTAAAAGTTATAACTTTCCTATATTGAAAATGTATTTCTGATAGGCACTTGTTTACTTAGCTATTCTCGTTCAGTGCTGCCCTCTGTATGCAATATTTTTCTTTACACATGCCACAATCTTTGCACTCCCTCCTTCTTGGTATTACTATATTCCAATATGTCTCTCCTGCAAATCATCACGCATCATCTCTTAACCAATAGTAGCATGACATACTCACATGATGCATATGACTCCCTCTACACTCTTCTATCTTACCTTCACTTCAAAGTTTGGCAGGTGTCAGTGCTGAAAAAGTGGGGAGGAAGGGTGGGAAAATGCGAGTAGAGGTAAATACCTATCAGAAATACATTTCCAGTATAGGAAAATTATAACTTCCAATACGGTACTTACCTCCTCTCACAATATTAGCTAGAATCCCACATTAAGGAGGAGGAGGGGACCAGTGCGAGGGAACGAAAGAAGTATCCCCAAAAGCATCCGAAGGATACCCCTGACAATGACATATAGATATGCACCACTTCTGAGCCAGATATAATCATCGCCCATGTGTAGATTGTGTAATGTACTAGGCCAGAAACTGTGAGGTGTAGAGCAGATAGGGCACGGCAGACTGTACTCGGTAAGTCAGCTATTAGGTCGTCATGAAATTAATGTCGCGTTTTGGAATACTTTCATTAATCACCCCCCAAAAAACGTACATTACATATAATAGTTAAATGAACTGCCTAAATGTCACGTTAGTGTACCCTATAATCCCTTATGCAATGGCACACGAGGAGACATACATTTGACATGTAATGCTGTTTAAATACAAGAGAAACAATGCTTCTGTAGCCACAAAGAATATCAAAGAAGTTTATGGAAATGTTTTCAAAGTTTGTAAGGGTCAATGATGGTTCAGCAAATTTCGTTCAGGTGACTTTAGCATTAAAAACTGTGATGGCAGGGGCCAACATGCCGCATAATGTGTGTGAACCATTTTTGGACAGAATTGTCACCAGTGATGAAAAATGTATTCTCTACGCAAATATTAAATGCCAAAAACAATGGCTCAGTCCTAGACAAAAACCACTTCCAATCCAAAAACCTGGACTCCACCCACAGAAAGTGATGCTTTGCATTTGGTGGGACGTCAAAAGAGTAATTTGTTTTGAACTCCTCAATCTATAGCAAACTGGCAATGCAGAGATCTATAGTCAGCAACTGGAACATTTAAATCAAGGCCTTCATCAGAAACGCCCTTGACTCTTCAATCAAAAAGGTCTTCTTCTTCTCCAGAACAATGCACGTCCATATGTGGCATGTTTAACACAAGATTATGGAGTTGGGTTGGGAAGTTCTCCTCCACCCACCATATTCTTCACATGTGGCACCAGCAGATTACCATCTTAATGGGAAAACGTTTGCAAATATGGAAGGTGTTAAAGAGGACATCACAAGTTTCTTGCTTCAAAGCTAAGCGATTTTTTTAATAAGGGCATTAACAATTTGATTGTAAGATGGAAAACCATCACCAATAAGAATGGAGACTATTTAATTTAATAAGTGTTTTGTTTTGATATGCAAGTTCTTCTGGTTTTTTCATCTAAAAAAAAAAGTGACATTAATTTCTTGATGACCTAACACATCAAAAACCTCCTTGCAGGGCACCGACAATGAAAGGGCCGGTAGAATAAGGATCATACAGTCTTCACCTCAAACCCAAGAATCAGGGATTAAACCCGCAAGGATTTCAGGGTATACCACGAGGGTCATCACCAATCTATCAATCTGGTTGACATGTGGTATAGAAAGGATGTCTACAATATTAAAGCAGAGAGATCCACTGTTGGGTTACCTGCATCTGAGAAAACACTGGTTATTGGTGTGACCCCCAAAGTGGTAACGTGAACTTCAGAATTCATAACTCAAGAAATTGTTCACAAATTGTTGAGTGCAGAATTATAGTAACAAGAATGAACTGGTAGAAATAAAATAAACTCAAAAAGGAACCACTTCGTGCAAAAAAAATTGTTTGTCACACTGGAAGCACTAAGAACACAAAAGAAGATGTCTGAACTCAAACACTGCCAAACGAGAAGTGAAGGGTCGGTAGAGGGAGTAACATACATCAAGTAAACATGTTATGCTACTATTGGTTAACAGATGAATCATGATGATTTGCATGTTGGAATATAGAAATTCCAACAAATAGTGGGGGGAGGGGCACAAGGCTTGTGGCATGTGTAAAGAAAAAGTTTGCATATAGAGGGCATTACTGAACGAGAATAGCTGAGTACCATATCAGAAATGGAGTTATCTTATGTTATACTTATCTTTACAAATTTCTTATTACAAAGATTAATAAAATGCTTCCTTAATATATGAGCAATCTCAGTTTTATATGTTTATTATACTTATGATCATGACAACAGATTTACACATATCACACAAATAGCAACTTGCATCACACACGAGTATCACAAACAGCAAATTGTGCCATTCAAGTCACACACACACACACACATCACAAAAAGCATCTTTTGTCATCCAAAACCTTAGATATATCACAATCAGCTACTCGTGTCATCAGCAACCTGCACAGGATGATTTTGTGATATTTAAATAAAAAAAATTTTTTTTTTAACATGTACTAAAATTCCACAGATTTTCTTAACACATTTAATTTCATCCAACAAATAACTATTACATCTATTTTAATTATGACTCGGCAGCTTCAATGCTATATCCAAAACTTTGTAAAATGCCTATGTATATATACATATACATCATATTTTACTTTTTAGACATAGTAAAGATCTTACTGGTATTTTATCTTGTAATGAATATTTTTTTGATTTAAAAATTTTAAAATAAGCCCTTAGAAGAAACTACCACAGAGTAATGAGCTTAGAAATGCATTAACAAAATATTAAGACTTTTCCAGTAATAATTGAGTTAGTTTGTTTTTTGAATACATTAGCATTTTACATTGTAAAATATCTTTCTTATAAACATTATATTAAACATGTGCAGTATTTATCACTTATATAGCTACAGGAAGCAAGGATCCAAGTGTCATATTTCTCCCCTAAAGGTGCAATAAAAATGAACAATTCGAGTTGTCATAGTAAAAATGATCAAAATAACAGATTTCTTTCTATCTTTACACAAGTTAATTCAATATGCATAAAGTTTATGGATATTTTTGTTCAGGTTTTATGAGATTTCCAATCTAGAGGTGTGGACAATAATTAATAAAAAAAAAGCAAATTAATGTCTAAAAAAGTTAAGAAAATGCATTAAAAAAAAGGTTAGATTCCAGTGCATTTGTAAATTAGCTGTGCATTATGCAAACATTTCATCACTTCAATTTATTTTTTATAAAATGATTTTCACAAAAAAGCATAAATTTTTCACTAGTAAAGAGTAACATGGAATAAAAAATGTTCAACTTAAATAACCAGTTTATATTGAAAACATCTTATAAAAATAAACTGGCTTACTAATTTACTTACAATTCTAATGCCTAAAGTGAAAACAGTTTTTTCTGGGAACAATTTATTTCTGTTGAGTAACTTTTGTAGATCTTCCCCAAATCTTTCCATTACCATGAAGCGATACTTGACACCATGGTATTCATGCGAGCCCGAACCAATAAATCTTGGCATTCCTAAAAAGTCCAGGTTCTTCTTCAGCACCCACTCATCAACTGTACACAAAGACTCATGTTAAACAAGCTGACATACATTTCGAGTAAAGACAACGATTAATAATATATGTTCCATAAAATATGTGATGGGTCACCTTTCTCTTTGTTTACATTTCTTGGGTCCAACTTATAATGTCACGGAAACTCCTCTTTTTAAATTAAGTAGCACTTTATATACAAGGCCATGTTGTGGTACTGCACATGTATTGAGATTGTTCAAACCAACATGTTTATACTAGCATGTCATTTAAATGAAATAATTTCAAAAATAAAGTGTTGTATTTGGTATCCACAGAACCATGATAAAATAAGAATGTCCACAAACATCTTCTTAAAAGATAGCTGACTTCTGCTGTTGTTTCTTTATAACACTAAAAACATCAGTCTACTTACTATCTTTTGACACTACCAATATCATCCGAGACAGAGGTACAAGCCATCCTGTATTCCTACTTTAAAAAGCTTGCTACCCTATGAATCATTTATTTTACAATGAGATGATTTTGCTATCTTTAAAAATGTTAGTTTATTTAATTATTAAATGTTATAATTTGCATTAAACGTTTACCACTTACCTATCACTAAAATGTCACTTATTGTTAAATTTGTGTATTAAGTGTTTTATTATAATTTAACTGAACAAATATGTGAAGCATGCAACTCCCAGCTAAAAACCATACTGTTTTTTTTTAACTTAGACATTTCTATTCTTTTTTGTAAGAGAGGGTTTTAAACACCACTTGATGGGCATGTGGCTTAATGACAAGATTAAATTGAGTTTTGGAATCAAGTTGAACAGTATAAAATGATTGTTAGATGAAAATAGATTATGTTGTTAGCCAGTTGGTTGGTTCAGTGCTGTAAATTATGAGTTTGCATTTTCAACAAGGTAATAGATACAAGAAGCACCATATATATCAGAATAGATTAGCATGTGGAATTTATTTATTTATTTATGTTATTTTCTCGTAAACCTTTTTATTTGGAATGTTCACTATCCAACATGCAAAGCGATTTTGATTTTAAGATTAAAAATACTTTAATGCATTAAAAAAATTTTCAAATTTCACATGCAAAATCTTAATAAGCTACAGATAATTATCAAATTTTTTGTAGAAAAAACTTTATATTTGGTATTTTCACTACTGTATTTCTATATGGGTTGGTTTGATGGACTTCGTAACACCAATAAAAAAAATTAGGAAAAAATATAAATTATGCTTTTTTCGTTCTAGAATGATTACAAGTTATAACACAAAAACACAAATGTTTAGTCTAAATACCTTAAATCTTATAATATTATACATATTTATTATTTTTATTATATTGACCTTCCAACCATGCCTGGCTAGCAATACAGAAGTTACAATGATATGGCACACATGCACTCATGATACTGTATCCAATAATATATAACTGAATTTAGTTTTACAAAGTGACCTGTCTTACCTGTCACTTTAAAATTATTATACATTATATATGTACATAGATTATTACTATTTACAAATAAGTTCTTAAACTTATTTTTCTTAAAACATAGAACAGTAAATAAAGAAGTAAAGCAAACAGCTATCTCTTCTTGTTATGACCTTTGTATTAGTTTGTTGCAGGTCGCTAAGCCTTACAAAATTTCTCACGTGGAGGAGAAATATTTATACCATAGAATTCCACTATAATTTATCAAGTGTAGTAACTAAGCTGTATTTGAGTCTGAAACAATATGAAATTTCAAGATCACCAAAGATTTACTTACCCTATTGTTTGAAATCTTATGTGAAAAGAATGAAATTAACACAATAACACATCAAAATGGCTGAGAAAACCACTTGGAGGACATTCTGAGCTTTAGATTGGTTTTCCATGTCATATATAGAAGTAAGTGTTTATAAGGGACCATTTCCAAAAATGGAAAGGAGTGTGCAGGGGGCCCATTGTGTTTGATTCAGTACATGAGTGATATCTTAGCAAGTAGAAAAGATAAGAGGTTCTTATTTTATATATTAGTTTGTCAATATCAGTAGTTTGATTTCCTAATTTGTACAAAACTGTAGATTTTGTATTTTGACATCACAAACATCTAATTTGAATCAGTACTGCATTCAACATACCTGGTGACACACAAAAATCAATGTTTAGCTGGATTTTTTTAATATTTACTTTTAAACTAAGAAATGTATAATACTAAAACTTGAATTATAATCTACAATTTGATACCAAACTTATTGACATAAGTTCATAAAATTGTAGTTCAATAAAATTTTGAATGCAAGTCAACAAACGCGATGACATGGCCTTTGACACGTGACCCATCAGGATAGGATTAAGTGTACTGAACTTTTGCATTTTTCTTTTTAACAAATAACCCAAAAGAATCTACCCATTAATAGAAATCATTACAACACTTTTCTCATAAGTGGGATTATTTTGTAAAAATAAAGATCCAACAAAAAGACAACACATGCTCTAAGCAAAATTGAAAATTTGCTGGAAATTATGAAACAGTGGAGAGATGATTAAAAAGAAAACTACTGATATGAAAAAACAGAGAATGATATAAATCAAACAAATATGTAAAAAACGTTGAAAAAAGAGCAAGAAGAAAGACACGGGAAGTTAACTGAGTAATTACAAGAGTGAGATGCTAGATTTACAGAAAAAATGAAAATCCAGATATGCTTTATGAAAAGCAACATTTTTGTATTTATGAGAATTTCAATTTGTTGTTAATAGTTAATTCTTGTCAACCAAGATACATCAATGTTTTACTCTGACAACACAACTCTCACCACAAAATATATTTTTTAAATCTTCCTTACATATTATGCCCTAAATTATAATCAGTCTTCTTATATTTTTATTTTGCTATAAAACTGAGCATAGAATTTTGCTGTTTCCTGATGTATGCTTTTAGCTCAGCAGCCTGTGTCAACAAACTAGGCAAATCCACTATGTTTAACGTAAAGCAACTGGTCAAGCATATGAACCAATCAAATCCCATGCATGCAATCTCCATCTCAGGAGTTCCTTGCACAAAGCTTGCAAGTGCAACTTGTAATCAGCTCTGTGTGGAAAGTGACTGGGCATGGTTACTTCAGCCAAATATAAACTTCCTGTTCTCAATGCTGACATCAGAAGCCCATTATTAATAAAATTATATCAGTTATATATAACTGTTTCATGCTTCATACACATTACAGAAATATGAAAACAGCTTACTAACTAGCTTCAGCATAGTCTTAGTTACGGGTAAATTAACATGCTAAAGAGCCCAAAATTCCTGCTGGGATTGTTTCTAGAGAACACCATAGATGGTGCCATAAGTGGTATTCTTTTGACCAGCTACAAAAAAGAACTTCCCAAACAAAAAACATACTCATGAGAACCACACGTCATCCTATTTTCTCATCACAAGCCAAAAAAAGAGAAAACCACCAGAAAGATTTGGTGACTGGACAGTTTAAGGGCAGTAAATAAGTAAAGGAGGAAGATTTTGTTCTGTTAATAAGAATTTTAATTATATATACTTTGTTTCACACAATTAATGATTTAATGGATGTAATGTCTATATTTATAAATATTAATACTAAATTTGAAGAGTTACCTTATTATTACTTGTGAAAATTCAAATTTAAAGTAGCATTGTTTTAAATGTACAAGAGTATTCTCCAAGGGACTTACTAAACCAGGAATGGGTAGTGTTACTTTGTTTTTTTAATTTAGATATTTGTTTTTTTCATTAGAGGGAGTTTTTAATATCATATGATAAGCATGTGGCTTAATGACTAGACTTTTCTTAAAAGTTTAGAAAATAATTTGAAACAACATAAAACAAGCATTTGGTGACACATGATTAGATTTTTGATTCATGTCAGACAGTTTAGCAATGTAAATTTTAAGGTTTGCCTTTTTAACCAATAAAAACAAAAGGCACCATAAATGATAAAATTAACAAGTGAAATCTCTATATTAAGACTATATTTATTTGTATAGTTAAACCTATCTCTAGTTAGATGAACCTTTTACAAGCTGTAGAACTTGTAGTCAAAGACTGGACTTAACATTCTTCTTTTTACACCATGTAATCCAGAAGAACCACTCAACAAATCAGTTATAGCACTACTAACATTCTTAACAATACTACATCTATCTGTTACAGCTACTTGTGTGTTATT